GTATGGTAAAACATTCTCCATCACTTGGGCTTAAAATTTTGGCATCATTGTTCTTTTCTTGGACTCTAAATCCTATTGGTTCTTCAAATTCTCATTTGCTTACATCTCCATCACTGCAACCAATCCTAGCTAGTTCAAGTTCTTAACCTCTTTATGAACTAGAAAAATCTAAGCTCTACTTCTTCTTCCCTTGATTGTGCAAAGCACAGCTAGAGTAACCCACTCAAAAACTTTGGATAGTTCCTTAAGGACCAAAGAACAAAGGGAGGAAAAGCCTGAAACTTATTTTCAAGTTCCTTCTCAATTTGACCATTTCCAGTCTTTTACATGTCATTCTAATCTCTGCCTCTAAGTTCTCAATTTAATTAACCCTTAAAGCAATATTAGTCTGTTAATGTTTCCTTAAAAAGTTGCTCTTCCACCTATTTTATTCCCACACCCAATCATTGATCCAATATATATATCTACCTTCTAATATTCATAATGTGTGTCATACGTGTTTTCTCACTTCCCCTTAATTCAGCCTTGTTCATTCTATATCTGGACTGTACCATTAATCTTCTGACATCCTGACGTAAGCCCCTCCTCTAAAATTTTGTTCTACACAATACCAGGTTAGCTTTAAAAAAATCAAGACATTGGATCACCCCTCTACTTTTAAACCTTCAATAATAATGATGATGATGGCTACCACTGGTTGATCACTTATGTGCCAGGCCAGGTATTGTGATACACAGTTCACATGAACTGCCTTCATTAATCCTTCAAAACCCCCATACTTTATTATTTTATTAACTCTATTTTACAGACAAGAAAATTGAGGCTTAGTGATATGAAGTACCCTTTCACTGTGGAGTAAAAAGGTTAAGGTAGAGCTAGGATTCAAACCCAGTCCATCTGACTCTAGAACCTGTGTTCTCAATCATCCAGAGGTTATATTCTTGATTAGTTTAAGTTCCAGTTTTTCAATTTGGTATACAAAAGATCCTTTTCAACTTCATCTTCTGCCATTACTTGCCAAGCACTTTACAGTCACACATTTCATGCTTTTTAAAAACTTCATGCTTTTTTGCTCCTGTTTGTTCTACCAGAATATATTTTCTACCTAGCCCTACCTTCTATCTAAAGAAACTCTACTCATCCTTCATGGCACACCTCAAAACATAAGCTTCAGTGATGCTTTCAATCCAAGTAAGATAGCCAATGCCTTAATTACAGCTCCAACATGCTTTGTACCTCGTTCACTCTATTATTTAATTGCAATAGTGTCTCCTCCACTAGATTGCCAGCACTCCAAGAGAATCTATCTTAATAGAGCTAATTCAATTCTGTATCCCCAACATCTAGTATAATGCCTGGTACAAAGCAGGTACTCAAATGTTGCATAAACGGTCCCAATCCGTTGCCTATCTGAAACCTACCCATCCTTCAAGGGCTCTTTCCTCCTATACAAACTCTTTCCAGACCACTCCAATATAGAGTCATCACTTTGTATCTCCTTCGAACTTGCTGGCTCTGCCTCTTAGCTTGCAATTGTTATTATACCGATCTTTATGACATATATAACTTTTCATGAGTACTTATTTCTCCAAGAACCAAGACTGTATTTTATCTTTTTACACTTATTGCCCTACAATCTTAGCATACAGCAGGCATTCAAAAAATATCTTCTATTTGATTCTTTGAGGTTTCAAATATTACAAACCAAGCAAGGATGCCCAATTGGCTTTAGCTTATTTCATTTCTGTGTATAAACATTTTTATGATGAAATAAAGTCATACGATTGGAACTAAACATACCTCATGTAGTAAATCAAGGTCCTTTTCACTAAATGTCCTTACTACTCTTGCCACTTCATTCAATAGCTCTGGAACTTGAAGCTTTTGCCTCACTTGCCTCGCTACTGAGCAGCTGTATTTCCTCCTTGGCATTTTTCTTCTAAGATGTCTTGTTACCATGGTGCATCTCCTCTCTCTCTCTCTCTCTCTCTCACACACACTTCTCTGTTCCTTTGCTTTCTCTAGGACACATCGTACTGAAGACTTATTTTAGTATGCTTAAGAATTTAATGAGGGTGGAAAGAAAATTAAAAATCATTTTTAAGAATTATATTTTAGATAGGTAAGTCCACAAAATAGCTTGTAAACAAAAATTAAAATTCAAGTTGGTTTAAAATATAATGATACAGAACTAGCAAGAAACACTGAAGTAGCTATGTGACCCCGAGACCTATGTGGTTCATCTAAAAACCTATAATGAAAAATAAGCAATCCTAATAAAGCCAAGGTACTGGAAAACACTTTAGTCACATGACCTCAGATTTATAAGCAGGGAAGCTTATAAATAAATTGAAAGGCTGCCCATAAGAAATATATCAGCTTTAAAAATTTTTAAAAACACACACTTCAGCATTTTGGTTTAATCAGAAAAATCTGATAATTTAAGAAATGAGGTTAATATAACCTAGAAAATAAAGAAAATACATTGAATCCAAAAGAGAGTCACATTTTATATGCTGAACTGAACATATACACAATACAGACAATGCACTCTAAGTGTTAAAGGTGAATTTTTGTATCAAAACTAACAGATATAATCTCAAGGGACAACCTAATTTTACAAATCTGGGTACATTTTTAAAAAACATGTTTATTGATTTTAGAGAGAGAGGAAAGGGAGAGAGAGAAACATCAATGTGAGAGAGAAACATCAGTTGGTTGCCACCCATACGCACCCCAATCCAGGGTTCAAACCCACAACCTAGGTCTGTGCCCTGACCAGGAATTGAACTGCAACTTTTTGGTGTACAGGATGATGCTCCAACCAAGTGAACCACACCAAATCTGCCAGGGAAAATCTGGGTACATCTTTAAACTGCCTGGAAAGAAAAGGAAGTATCTGGACAATTCAGGTGAGGCAAATTTGGAGGTGAGGGGGGACAACATACATAAATTTAAGGTTTTATGTTTTAGTTACCCATACCAATTTTGTTGAGGTGGCAGTAAGTCACTTATGCAGATAAAGTTAGCTATTTTTTCTAGTTTGTTTCTATTTTTTTTTATTTCCAAATTCTTATCTTAGCTAAAGAATAGGAAAATGCTTAACAGGACATAGTTAAGAATGAATACTACTCTTACCTAAAGCAGTTGGGCTGTATCAACTTTAAAATAGAAGAATCTGTCCAGAGCCATCAGTTGGATTGGGCTCAAAAATAAGTTTCCTTTAACTAACCAGGAAACCTAATCGCTCATAATTAGCGATGCGGAATCACTATTAATAATTTCATTGAAGAGTTATTAGATTTATATATGAATCACGTACGTATTCTAATATCTCAAACTTCCCATTAAGTGAATTTCAGGCATTTGTTATTGAACACAAAAAAGAACGATATCCACCCCACCCTTAAAACCTACGTGACCGTAAAATACAGGCTTCCTGACTAGAAGAGCACAAAACAGAAAAAAAGGAGAAGTTGTAGGGAGTAAAAGACTATTTGTATTTGATACCAAAGAAGGTCTTTATAATATTACTACTATGAAATGGTAGAGCTGCAAACTAGCACGTATTGGACTCTTTTTAAAAAATCTAGATTTTAACAAGTTAAACTTGAGTTGAACTAGCACTGTGGTCATAGATCTTCTCTGTCATTAATTGTAACATTATTGTAAACTATTATTGAATGAGAAAGGTAAGAAAGAAGTCTGAAGATGAAATCTAAATGTGGATTTTTGTATGTAAGGTGAATTTCCCAGGAAGCCAGAGATGAGATTCCATGTGCAAACTAGTCTGTTGCAAACCATCTCTTTAAACATGTGATCCATAGCAGGTATTTCAACTAGCTAACAAATTCCATAAGAAATGAAAGTTGTATTGACAAAGAATACACTACTGAGTGATGAGATCTTGTACCTATGAGCTCTATTAAACTATAATTTTATATGCCAACAAGCTCTTTTCCTATTTACCTAAACCAAATGACTTTTATTTTGTACCAATCAAATATGACTGTTTGGGATTCACAACTTATCCTAAGGAATATGCCTTATGTTTGAAATCTTATTTTTACTGTATTAAAGCAGTACAGGGAAAACATTACCATACATATGACAAGAAACAAGAAGATTCATAAGCATAAGGATAGCAAAAATTCCTTGTTCAGGAATGTGGTTGGTTGTGCCATCTAATAGTAGGGTGAAAAGTGCCCAGGGAAATAAACAAACACAGATAAACAGTCAGAAAATGAAGAGGCAGCCCAGGTCTCCTGTTCCCACCCCCACAAAATTCTAGTATTTCATGATAAAATGAATGCCTGAACTACCAATCTTTTTTCCCCCCTTCTCTCTTTAAAAAGATTTCTCAGGACAAGGATTCCACAAACTCTATTCAGTTCCTTCCAATGCCTGGCCCAGCTGGACTGACCACTAACTTTTAAAAATTATCTACCGAAGCCTGGATACAAAAGAGTTATTATCAAAGAAGGTACAAATTAAAAAATTAAAACAACACAAAGAAAAAGGTTTTCTCGTTTTTAAATATTTTAATGGAAATATATTTGGTCAGATTTCAAAAACTGGACTTAACAGTGTTTAAACATTGTGCCAGTATATTTTAGAAGCTGAATTAAAAAAAAAAAAAAGTATCTTCCAAAAACAAACACAATATTTAAAAAAAAAAAAAACTATAATGATTTCAAACTATTGACCACGCTACATGGTAAAGAAAAATCATTTCAAATTGTTTTTCACCTCCACAGCAGTGTTTGATGTGCTCTCCTGGAGAGCACAGAAATCTTAACTCTCAATTAGCCCTCAATTTTTATAGTTTACGTTAATCTGCTGACCTGTTGTCGGTAAACACCCACAAATTCTGATCCAGCTGAGAAATATTTAACTTTTCCTTCTAGGGGGAGCGTGTGGGTTGTGTTTCAAGGGAAGTGCTAACCCCTTTTGGCCTTTGACCAGTGTTGACGGTTTTCTAAGCAAATGCTGCTTCTTACCCACGAGGCTTTTTTGGAGAGGTCTTTTACGCGGCCTTTTCTCCATCTACTCTGAACTTAAAACCAGGACTCCCAAATCCTGCTTCGTCCCTTCCTTCACCCATGTCCAATCCCTCGAACCCCTGGGGCTGGAGCTAACCAGGAGCGAATAGGGCGGATGGCTGTCACTGGGGAGCAGACGCGGGCCAAAGCCCAGGTGATTTCTGACTGCTCATCCCCCGGCCCCGCGCGGCTGAAGGTCTCCGAGCCCCTCGGTCAGCCCCAGTAAGCCAGGCGTGCAGCTGTCGCAGAGCAGGAAGCTAATCGCGGCCCCTGGGCCGCTTTGACAGGCCGAGTAGAAGGAGATCACTGCGGCTAGTAGCATCACCCCTCCGGTTAGGAGACCTCGAGAGTGAAACCCCCGCCCAGGCCTGAAGGCAAGCGAGAGACCGAGAAGCCACCGCCACCAATTCAGCCCAGCCCAGCAGGGGCCCGCCCAGGGGCCACTCCCCAAGGGAGGCAGCCAGTCACTCGCCCGCCTTTCCGGGCCCGCTCCAGAGGGGACGGTCTCCCGCCCGCCTTCACACACAGCTCCTCAGGCCAGGCCCCCAGGGCTTCGTCCACCTCTCACCTTTGACGACGCGGTCAGCCCCGGGAGGGGGTGGCGGGGGCGGGGGTGGGGGCGGTGCAGCCCGGGCCGGCTCCGGGGCGGCCATGCTGGGCCCGGGGCTCGGCTACGCGCTAGGCCGGGCGGGGCTGGGGGCGGGGGCGGCGGCTACCAGAGCCAAGCGGCGGCGCCGCCGAGGAACATGGCGGACCCTCTTTCCCTACAGAGGGGCTAAGACCGGCATGCACCGCGCGTGCGGGGGCGGGGGCTGGGGCGGGGCAGGTTCTAGGGACTTCGTCAAAATTACTGAGGCTAGAGAAACAGGGCGAGGCCAAGGGACCAAGTTAAAATTCTGGGCAGGCAAAAACCAAAGAGTGAGGAGTGAAGAAGGGTGCAGGTTGCTAATTGCTGCGATGAATGAATGCTAGGCTGCACGACACTGGCTCTCATGGAGCTCCGAGGAAGATGGGGAGACGTGATCAAACATCAAAACCTCCTGCTAATAGAAAAACAAGCGTATAACAATTTGGTACCAGATCCGTCCGGTAAGGGACAAAAGAAATAGAGGAGGCATCACAAGCTCTGTAGAGAAGTGACCGTACAAAGTGGAGTCTGAGAGAGAATCTGGCCCTTGTGTTTAGAGCCTGGAATTGTTCAGACTCTGAAGGCACAGAGTAAGAATGCAGGTAGAGCAGATTAGGCCCCAAGAGTTAAGAATCAAATAGGCCCAGGCCGGAGTGGCTCAGTTGGTTGGAGTGTCCTCCTGTAACCAAAAGGTTGCAGTTGGATCCTCTGTCTGGGCATGCTTTGGGGAGGCAACCAATGGATGCTTCTCTCTCCCATCAATGTTTCTTTCTCTCCTTAACAATAAAAAATCAAATAGATAAGGGGAAAGGAAGGGATGACACCAAATGATATTTACAAAGTCTACAAAATTCACTTGAAAAGAGCACAGCCTCCCTCTTGATACTCTGGATAGAGACCAGCTATCTACTAAGACATATATATCTTGAAGCACTGGATACACTAAGGATTGGTCCATAATGGATGGTGATAATTAGGTAAGCAGTGGTCCAAATGTCTCAAAAAACACCTTTCTACCTTTTCTTTTTGTTAATCTCAATGATCCTGAGACGTAGGGTAAAAGTGAAGGGGAATACCCAATAGGTATTCTTTGGAAACAGAGCCCATGAAATATCTTTTACAAGGAGGAGAATTTGGGTTGGGGGCAGGGGTGAAAATGGATCTGGTGTGGAAGTGCAACAATTCCACAAGGGGAAGAGGAGGAGCAGGCCTGAAGAGGGAGGAAGGGAGGCAGAGGAGGCGCCTCACAAACTTGTAGAAGAAGGACACCAAGGGTACAAAGACCACAAGTGATTTTCTAAGAGGAGTTCTAATCTCTAGGAAATCTCCCTAAGAAGGGAAGGAGAAGGTGTGTAATGTATTTAGTGCCTCTTGACAGGAAAAGGGTAGGAAATATACTAGCAGCACCAATAACAAGGGAAGTCACTGCAATTTGGGGGCACATCGACTCCTACCTTGAATATGTATTCTTCAACTCTTTGCTCTTTGGCCCTCACTATCACTCACTCAAAAGCCATATATGTATACACACACTCACACAAATATCTGTATACATATATATTCACATATATTCATACACATACACTCTCACATATATATGTATGTTTGTGCCATGATTTGCTCTCTGGGAATACCAGGCCACTAGTATTCAGGCCAGCCCGCCCCAATATAAAAGAGCAAGAGCATGCAAAAGGCCTTTCCCTACAATTTTTTTTATTGTTTATTCTATTGTACTAATGTGTTTTCCCTTTTGCCCCTCTCCACGCAGGCCACCCCTCTCTCCCACAGTCAATTTCCTCTCCGTTGTCCATGTCCATGAGTCATTCGCACATGTTCTTTAATACTTTCCCCTTCCTTCCACCATTATCTCTCTCCCTCTCCCGTCTGGTCACTTTCAGTCTGTTCCATGTTTCCATGTCTCTGGATCTATTTTTCTCATTATTTATTTATTTTGTTCATTAGACTCCAGTTATAAATAAGGTCATATGGTATTTGTCTTTTTCTCCAACTGGCTTATTTCACTTAGCATAATAGTCTCCTGTTCATTCATGTTGTTGCAAAAGGTAGGAATTCTTTCTTTCTGCTGCATAGTATTCCATTGTATAAATGTACCAGTTTATTGATCCACTCATTATTGATGGGCACTTGGGCTGTTCGAACACTTAGCTATTGTAAATAGTCCTGCTATGAATTCAAGAGTGCAAAAATTCTTTTGGATTGCTGTTTCAGGATTCTTAGGGTATAATCCCAGCAGTGGAATTGCTGGGTCAAATGGCAGTTCCAATTTTAGTTTCCTGAGAAAATTCCATACTGTTTTCCACAGTGGATGCACCAGTCTGCATTCCCACCAATAGTACACTAAGGTTTCCTTTTCTCCACATCCTTGCCAGCAGTTGTTTTTTGATTTATTAATTCTGGCAGGTGTGAGGTGAATATCTCATTGTGGTTTTAATTTGCATCGCTTTGATGGCTAGTGATGTTGAGTATTTATTTCATATGTCTATGGCCATCCATATGTCCTCTTTGGAGAAGTGTCTATTCGGGTCCTTTGCCCATTTTTTAATTGGGTTGTTTGTCTTCCTGGTGTTGAGTTGTACGAGTTCTTTCTGTATTCTGGAGCTTCAACCCTTGTCCAATGTATCATTGGAAAATATGTTCTTCCTGTAATTCAGTTCCCTTTTCATTTTGATCATGTTATCTTTAGCCATGCAGAAACTTTTTAATTTGATGTAGTCCATTCGTTTATTTTTTCCTTTATTTCCCTTGCCCTAGGAGATATATCAGCAAAAATATTGCTATATGGGATATCTGAAATTTTACTCTCTATGTTTTCTGCTAGGAGTTCTATGGCATCATAACTTATATTTAAGTCCTTTATCCATTTTGAGTTTATTCTGGTATATGGTGTAAGATTTTTTGTGCATGTACCAGTCCAGTTCTCCCAACACCATTTATCAAAGAAACTTTTTATTCCATTGTATGCTCATGCCCCCAAATATTAATTGACTGTGGAGACGTGAGTTTATTTCTGGGCTCTCTATTCTGTTCCAGTGATCTGTGTGTCTGTTCTTATGCCAGTACCAGACTTTTGATTACAGTGTCCTTTTAGTGTAGTTTAATATCAGGTATTGTGATTCCCTCCAACTTTGTTTTTCTTTCTCAGGATTGCTGAGGCTATTTAAAGTCTTTTTTTTTTTTTTTTTTTTTTGGTTCCATATAAATTTGTGGAATATTTTTTCTAGATATGTGAAATATGCCACTGATATTTTAATTGGAATTGTATTGAATATATAGATTGCTTAGGGTAATATGGACATTTTAATGATGTTAATTCTTCCAATCCATGAACATGGTATGTGCTTCCATTTACTTGTATCTTCCTTAATTTATTTCTTCAGTGTTCTATAGTTTTCCAAGTACAGGTCTTTTACAACCTGGGTTAAATTTATTCCTAGGTACTTATTTTTGTTGTTGCTATAGTAAATTGAATTTTTTCTTAGTTTCTCTTTCTTTTTTAAAAAATTTATTTATTTATTTAAATTTACCAATAATATTTATTCTATTACAGTTGTATCAATTTTTCCCCTTTTACCCCCCTCCACCTATCTCACCCTCACCCCCCACTCCCACAATCAATTCCCACTCTATTGTCCATGTCCATGGGTCATTCATACATGTTCCTTGTTTAGTCCCTTCTCCTCCTTTCCACCATTGTCCTCCTTCCCCATCCCCTCTGGTCACTTTCAGTCTGCTCCATGTTTTTGTGCCTGTGGTTTATTTTATTCATTAGTTTATTCTGTTGAATAGAGTCCACTTATAGGTGAGATCATATGGTATTTGCCTTTCATCAACTGGCTTATTTCACTTAGCTTAATATTCTCCAGTTCCATCCATGTTGTCGCAAAAGGTAGGAGTTCCATCTCTCTCTCTCTCTCTCTCTCTATCTTTCTTTCTTAAATGCAGATTGATTTCATTTATTTTTTTTACATGTCAAAGTTAATTATAAAATATTAAAAGAATTTAAAACCATTATAAATTTTCAGCAATTAAACCAACATGACACCAGCACAGAAATAATCAAGTAGAACAATGAAATATAATGAACATTCTAGAGACAAACGTATATATCTGTCTAACAATATAATGTATGATTAAGTTGATATTTCAAATCAGTGGGTAAAATAAGGCTTATTCAACAGATAGGGTGCATGGACCACTATTACTTGAAATAAAACAAATATAGAGCCCTATTTTACACATTATACAAGAAATATTCAAGTGAGTTAAAAATCAATAGGCAGAATCTAAGGAGTTTTAGAAGAAAATAGAACTAATATTTTTCATGACCTGAAGTAAAATATTCAAATGCAGAAGTTATAAATATTAACAATATGACTATGTTAAACATTTAACTATACAGTAATATACATATAAAAAAGTTAAAGGACAAGGAATAGAATAGAAAAGTATTTGCAACAGATCTAAAACATGGTTAATGGGGGGCTTTTTTGTTTTTTTGTTTTTTAGGGAAAAAAGTTCTACAAACCTTTAATCAAAAAATGGATAAAGAAAACCAAAAAGTCATTAAAAGCTTTTTTAAAAAAATAATAGAAATAGGCAAGAAATATACTAAAACAGGTTTAGTGTTAACAAATAGTAAAAGAACAATTAAAATAACATCATTGTCACAATCAGATTAATGAGTATTAAAAATATTGGTAATACCA